TTTTTGACATATTATTTAAAGATTGATGAGTTCTCTACTATCCCTTGGCTCTGTGGAGAGTGCGAGAAGACCTGGGTGATAGTGGGTTTCCATCTCTGTCAAACAGAGATCGACAGTCTACAGCCCAATGTACCCTTTTTTTACATCTCGGGCACAGGCCTGGACGAATGTTTTTTTGAGAATTGGGGTTTTTAAATTGTGGGCAGTTAGCTTGTATATGACCTGGACATTTGCAATTATGGCATATTATTTTGGAGTGGTCTAGGGCTGCTGCTAAAACTTGGGTCATTTTTTCTGCCATCTACTGAGTTGCTTCTGCAATTTGGTTGCCTAATTGTGTATTAGCTTCAACTAATTGGTTAGACATTGACACTTGAACTTGGACCAGGCTATTTGCTAATTCGTCATTAGGGCTAATATCTTTACAAGCCTTTACCATATCCATGGGGGTAGGGTCACAAAGGTTTCTGAGTATCTGTTGACACTGTGCATTTGAACTGGAGATAGCTAGCTTCAGGAATAGGGCATCTTGTGCTTCTTTCACCTTTATTTGTTTTTCAATAGATTCTTCTAATCGTTCTACAAAGTCACTAAAGGATTCATCAGGCTTTTGAATTACATATTTCTGGTAGCAATTAAGTCTTGTTTTGGAATTTTGGCCTTATCTTTATTTGCAGAATAAGGACCCTCTCCAAAAAGCGTTTGCATCGTAGTTTCTACAGGTCTACGTGTAGTGGAACTAGTTTCATGAGCATATTTTCTAATTAAAGCTTTCCATTCATCTAAAAACAATGTTATTTGTACCTTAATTAGCAAGGATCTCATTATATCTTTTAAATCATTTGGAGTTAGGACAAAGGTTGAGAATAAAGATGACAGAATTCCCATTGCATATGCTGAATTCAAACCATAAGTTGTTACTCCTTTTTTTGCATCCTTGAGAAGGGGTATGGCTAAGGGGTCCTATACTGGGGGTGCACCTGGATTATAAAACACTGGATAGTAGAAGGGGGAGGGATGACAGCTGCTGTTACTGCTTTAGATTGGAAACTGTTAGCACAGCTACGAAGTACAGTTAGTGAATTTAGATTGCATGGGGAGCCGACTAAACAAATGTTAGATTATCTTTAGAGTACACACCTCTTATTACCATCAGATCTTCGCTCTATAACTCGCCTGATACTTTCAGAGCATCAACAGTTGTTGTTTAATGCACATTGGCAAACATTTGTTAATGAAAGTGTAGCTGAACAGCGAGCACAAGGAGACCCCCTATATGGTGTTACAGTAGATGAGCTAACGGGGACAGGACCATATACTCGAACAGAAGCACAAGTTCACATTGGGCCAGATAAAGTTAGAGAAGCAATGGAACTTGTTAGAAAAGCCTTAGATAGGGTTAAGGAGCCAGGAGGCGTACCACTATATATGAATTTGAAGCAAGGAAAAAATGAGTCATTTGGTGAATATGTTGATAAGTTAACAGCTGCTATTACTCGAGCAGGGGTACCAGATTATATGAAGGGAACTATGATAAAGCAGTGCGTGTTGCAAAATGCTACCGCAGCAGTTAAACAATTAATAAGTACAATGGGTCCTTTTTGGACTATTGAAAAATTAATAGAAAAAGCAATGACCATCCCGATAGGTGAGAATGCATTTTTGGTTAGTGCTATTCAGGATTTAGCTCAGGGACTTAAGGAACAGGCACAAAGTTCCCAAGCTCAGGTTTTAGCAGCTCTTGCACCCCTTCAGGCAAAGGCAAATAACTTTACAGACGGGAAAGCTCGATTAAAATGCTACTGATGTGGAGCCACCGGACATATCCGAAAGGAGTGTCGAGCAACCGGAGTCTGGTGCCAACAATGTCAAAGCTCCACCCACAACACTTCTGCCTGCCGAAGTCACTCGGGAAACTCACGACAGAGCGCGAAGAACTGCAGTGGTCATGCGCAGACACAAATCGTTGCTGCAGCACAGATGACTCCAACCAACAGCTTTTCACCAAACAATCCATTTCACAGACAAGAAAGCAACTGCAACCCGCCACAGCCAACAATTCCGGATTACAACTTGCCACAACCAGTGGCCTCGGATTACAACTTGCCACAGCCAGTGGCCTCGGATTACAACCTGCCACAGCCAGTAACCTCGGATTGGATTTGGCAACAGCAGTAGAAGTCACCTTGCTATCCACCCAACCTCAAATGATTCCCACTGGAATTTACGGGCCTTTGATAATAAATAAACAAGTGTTTGGTGCACTGCTGATAGGAAGATCATCAGCTAGTCTTGCTGGTTTGTTCGTATTACCTGGAATTATCGATGTTGATTATAATGGGCAGATAATGGTCATGGCATACACCATTTTTCCACCTTTAAGAATTCCTAAAGGACAACGCATAGCTCAGTTAATACCCTTACCCCAGTTAACAAAACCTTTGACCAATGACCGACAATTGATGCAACGTGGAGATCGTGGATTTGGTTCTACAAGAGGACTTACCCTAGTAACACTAGATTTGAGCGAACGACCAAAACATGAAGTCACACTTATCTGGAAAGATCAAACAAAAACACTAGATGCTTTACTAGATTCAGGAGCAGACTCTAGCATAACACCTCATTGTTGGCCAAAACACTGACCCCTGCAACCTTCTACTACAACTGTGACTGGCATTGGGGGTGCCTCAATTGCTATGCGAACTCCTACTTTAAGTATAGAAGTGGAGGGTTGTGTAGCCAATGCTGTTCTGTCTGTTGTACAACTTCCATCAACAGTACAATGCCTAATAGGGAGAGATGTCTTAACACAAATCGGAATGAAACTCTCCAATGATTACCCTTTGGGGGAGTAGCCATTGCTTGGTCTTTCCCAATTCCTATTACTTGGGTTGTTGATACTCCTGTATGGGTTAAGCAATGGCCTCTAAAACGGGAAAGCCTGGAAGCTGCTCATAAATTACTGCAAGAACAATTTGATCAAGGACATTTAAAACTTTCTACTAGTCCCTGGAATACACCCATATTTGTAATAAAGAAAAAATCTGGAAATCATCGATTATTGCATGACCTGCCAGTAGTTAATTCACAAATGGAAACCATGGGGGCTTTACAGCCTGGACTACCGAATCCTGCAATGCTTCCAATGGGCTGGTCTTTGCTGATTATAGATTTAAAAGATTGTTTCTTTACAATTCAATTACACCCTCGTGATACTAAACGTTTTGCTTTTACATTACCTGCCATCAATCGAGAAAAGCCTGATCAAAGGTTTGAGTGGACAGTATTACCACAAGGGATGAAAAACAGTCCTACCCTATGCCAACTATATGTGGATACTGCATTACAAGCCCTGCGGCGTAGATGGCCTGATTGTATAATCTATCATTACATGGATGATATTTTATTCTGTCAACCTGAAGATTTTATGCCCCAGCAGATACAAATAATTCGCAAACATTTGGAACAATTCAAATTAATAATAGCAGATGAAAAAATTCAAACAACAGCACCATGGAAATATTTAGGTTGGACTATCTCCCGACATGCTGTTATCCCACAGAAATTGATATTTCAGTCAAAATTACGCTCTGTGAATGATGCACAAAAACTTCTTGATGATTTACAGTAGCTACGTCCTATAGCAGGAATCCCTGCTGACCTTTTGGTTGAATTACGACCCCTATTAAAGGGAACAGACCCAGCAACAAGGATTACTGTAACAGAGCACCAACAACACATACTCCAACAAATTTTAGACTGTGTCACTCAAGGTTGTGTCCGGAGGCGACAGAGGGATCTGCCTTTGGAACTTACATTCTGGGTTGATAAACAATATGTCTTGGGGGTCATCACACAGTCACAAACAGAAGTGGGGGAGGATATAGGTGTCATAGAATGGCTATCGACTAGCATACAACAGTCTAAAACACTCTTACAAAAAATTGAAATGTTAGCAGCTCTAATAAAAAAGGGTAGAGAGCGTGTATTACAGATTGATGCTCAGAAACCTGTACGTATACGATTACCAATGCAGAAAGATGTTCTTGATTGGTACCTAATTACTAATGATGTTCTTCAAGAGGCATTGTTGGGACTATCATATCCTACAATTACCAGTAAATTGAACAATGTTCCTACAGCATGGATTGGCTCCTGGCACTGCATAATGAAGCCAAAATACTTACCACCTGGTTATTTCTTGATTTGTGGTAATAGAGCATTGGTCTGGCATTCCTAAATATCCTATTGGTGGTCCACGTTACTTGGGAAAATTGACCATGTTTACACCCACTATGAGACAAATAACGCAGTTGAAAAGGAAAAATATTCGGAACAAACGAGATACTGAATTTGATAGATACTGTAAATCAGTAGAAAATCAACCCATCAAGTTTTGGTCACCTACGGCAAACTTCTTTGCATCCATATTTGCCCCCATTGGAGCAAAAAAGAGCCTGGTTCTTGTCCAAAGAACGGCTTGTTGGGCAAGGGATCAAATGAATAGAACCTCAAAAATTTTAGGAGAATTGGCTCATGACTTTGATGAAATAAGACATGCTGTTTTACAGAACAGAGCAGCTGTAGATTTTCTATTGCTGGTTCAGGGGCATGGGTGTGAAGAATTTGAAGGCATGTGTTGTATGAATCTTTCTGATCACTCTCAGTCCATTTACCAAAAACTAAAAGAAATGCAAATTCATTTGGATGACTTTAAAGTCCAAAAAGATCCTATTAGGGAATGGTTAGCAAAGTTAGGCTTAGGACCATGGCTCGCTGAGATCACTAAGCAAGCTATTTCACTCTTGTTGATATTGTTAGCTGCTTTATGCGTTGTTCCTTGTGTTTTTAAATGTATATAGAACATGCTAACGAAGGCAATGAATGATGTATTTTTGACATTATCAAAAGAAAACGGGGGAAGTGTCGAGAGTATCACAGAAAGGTGGTTGATAGAAAGAGAACACGAGAAAGATGCCATAGTTCTGGTCCCACGGTAAGGGAAAACTATTGGAAGGTCACTGTATCTGTGAAACTGCAGACGTGACAGAAGAATAGAATAAAGCGGATGGGAAAGCAGAGCAAATAGCAAACAAGTAACTATAAGAGTATGAAACAAAACAGCATTCACACAGCATTTGCGCAAATATGTTTTAGGTAATCAGAAGCCAATGATGAGCTTAGCTTTTGTAATATGTATGAGGCTAATTATTAGACCTTTATAAGCACAAAGCACGCAGCAATAAAGTTGGATAAGTATTGATCAATTCTGTAGTCTAAAGAGTTTTTATCCCGCCGTCTACAACATGCCTGCAATAAATTTAAACCATTAACATTACTGGCAATATTATTTGTATCATTACAATTATTGGTATGGTTGGGTCCTGTGGAAGAAAGAAAAGGGTTAGAAGGAGAAACAGAATTGTTAAAATTATTTGACGACTCGGCAATTTTATCCCTTTCTACCGATAGCTCCCGGGCCACAGCCCCGAACTCCTCGCAGGCGCTGTTAAAGGGTCCAGAGAGCCTGCCCTCCGCATCAAGCCGGCAGCAAACGAGAGTACGAGAGGCAAGGACGCCGGGCACAGTGCCGGGGCGGAGCTGCCGGAGGAGGGTAGGGGAGGGAGAAGAAGGCAGAGGAGGGAGCGGAGGCGGAAAGGAGGCGACCCGGCCGGAGCAGAGAGCCGGGGCTGTCGGGGGCAGCGACAGACCGGGTGGCGGATCGGCGAATACGGCGCTGGCGGGGAGCGGGACTGGCGGCGCAGGCCACGGTTCTGCTCGTGGTGCACGTCTGGCGGCCGGGGACCGTGGGGGCAGCGGCAGGGGTGGCCGTGCAGGTCCTTAGAGGTTGCCGTTCTTCCTGGCAGGTTCTTCACAGAGTTCAGTCTCCGAACTATCCTCCCGTCCCTTCCTCCCTCTACTCCCTAAAGCATTCCCTCGGAATACTCACCACTCATATTTTTGTCGAGCTGTTCCTATTTCCTTGCTTTTCTCACAGCCCCGAACTCCTCACACGCGCTGCTAAACGGTCCAGAGAGCTGCCGGGCCCAACCGGGCAGCTCTCGTGATAGGGAGATGGTCGTTGGACCTTCCTCTGGTTCTCCGTGCCCCGTGCTTGGGACTCGACGCTTTGTTCCTCCACCTTGGCAAACACGGATTCACTGACACTGTCGTCTTTGCAGCTTCCAGGGGATTTTCTTAGAAATACAGAACTTGGTTAATTGTTTCTTGAACGGAGCATAGTTCCCCTATGAAAAAAGGGCGATTAACTGCTACACAGAGCACGGACTGCAGGAGGTCTCTAAAGGACAGAGAGTAAAGCAAAGGAAAACGAACGACTCGACAATGAAAAGACCGGTGAGGGTTCCGAGGGAATGCTTTAGGGAGCAGAGAGAGGGACGGACAGGAGGAGAGTTCGGAGAGTGAGCTCTGTGAAGAACTTACCAGGTAGGACGGCAGACTCGAGGGACCTGCACGACCACCCCAGCAGCGACCCCCACCGTCCCCGGCAGCCAACCGTGCACCTCTCACTGCCCCGACAACCCCGATTCTCTGCTCCGGCCGGGTAGCCACCTCTCAGCCTCCTCCCCCTCCTCTGCCTTCTTCTCTCTGCCCTGCGCTCATCTACCAACTCCACCCCGGCACTGTGCCCGGCACCTCTCGTGCTCTCGTCGGGTGCAGACTGGATGCGGAGAGCAGGCGGGAGCGGCGGAAGCGGGGTGGTCGAGGGCACGAGAAGCAGAACACCCAACCGGGCTCGGCAGCCCGGTACAACCTCTCCTGGCCTGTCTCGGGAAGCATCCCTACTGGCAGCAGGAGCACTTCTGCTGGCGACGGTCCGCGGCCGCCAACCGTGCACCCCGAGCAGAACCGCGGCCGGCGCCGCCAGCCCCACTCCCCACCAGCGCCGTATTCGCCGATCCACCATCCGGCCTCTCACTGCCTCCGACAGCCCCGGCTCTCTGCTCAGGCCGGGCCGCCACCTCTCCGCCTCCTCCCCCTTCTCTGCCTTCTTCTCCCTCCCCTACTCTCCTCCGGCAGCTCCGCCCCGGCACTGTGCCCGGCGTCCTTGCCTCTCGTGCTCTCGTCTACTGCCGGTTTGATGCGGAGGGCAGGTGAGAGCGGCGGCAGCGGGGCGACGGGGCGGCGGTCGGGGCTCTGCACCGCGGAGGCGGCGGGACCGACCTGGTTGGCAGGACAGCGGATGAGTATCGGGGAGCTCAAGCTTGACAGACCATGAGCTTTTCTCGCCACCATCATCTCTTCCCTTTCATCCTTCTTTTACTGGCACGGGGAGACTCCGGAATAGTTCTCCAGGGCACGCACTTTTGAGAACGGTGGAGGGGCACGAGAGGCAGAACATCCTTCCGGGCTCGGCAGCCCGGTTCAACCCCTCCTGGTCGGTCCCGGGAAGCTTCCCTGCTGGCAGCAGGAGCACGTCTGCACTTGGAGTTTTTTCCGGGGCTGTGGCACCAGCCCTGCGGCGAGGCAGTGCATGGGAGAAGCACCTTCCCCAGAGAAAGCTCGGACGTGGAATGGCATCTCCAAGTTGCTTTGGACTTCATGGAGATGCAGTCTCCGTGAGTGAACACTGTTGTGGCCCTCCTCCTTCTCCTGTTGCTCAGAGGACCAGGGAACAGGCTGTCGCAGCCGAACTAGATGTGCTGGCACTAACACGTCTGCAGTAGGTTGAGGGGAATAGTGCCGGGGCAAAACTGTCTGCGAAGGCCAGGGGAGGGAGAGGAAGGTAGAGGAGGGAGAGGAGGTGCAAAGGAGGTGAGAGGAGCAGAGAACCGGGACTGTCGTGGGCAGAGAGAGGCCGGGCTGCGGATCGGCTCATTCGTTGCTGGTGACGAGCGGGGCTGGTGGCGTTGGCCGCAGTTCTGCTCTGTGCGTACGGTTGGCGACCGAGGACCGCCACCAGCAGAAGAGCTCCTGCTGCCAGCAAGGGATTCTTCCCGAGACAGGTCAGGAGAGGTTGTACTGGGCTACCGAACCCGGTTGGGTGTTCTGCCTCTCGTGCCCTCGACCGCCCCGCTTCCGCCGCTCCCACCTGCTCTCCGCATCCAGTCTGCACCCGACGAGAGCACGAGAGGTGCCGGGCACAGTGCCAGGGTGGAGTTGGTAGATGAACGCAGGGCAGGGAGAAGAAGGCAGAGGAGGAGGAGGAGGCTGAGAGGTGCCGGCCTGGTCGGAGCAGAGAACCGGGGTTGTCGGGGCAGTGAGAGGACGGGCGGCGGATCGACGCATTCGGCGCTGGTGGGGAAAGGGGCTGGTTGCACTGGTCGCGGTTCTGCTCGGGGCGCACGGTTGGCTGTCGGGGACCGTGGGGACCGCGGCAGGGGTGGCCGTGCAGGTCCCTCAAGTCTGCCGTCCTGCCTGGTAAGTTCTTCACAGAGTTCAGTCTCCGAACTATCCTCCCGTCCGTCTCTCCCTCTGCTCCCTAAAGCATTCCCTCGGAACACTCACCGGTCTTTTCATTGTCGAGCCCTTCCCCTTTCCTTGCTTTACTCTCTGTCCTTCAGAGAACTTGTGCAGTCCGTACTCTGGCGACGGCAGCTCTCTGGACCCTTTAGCAGAGCAGGCGAGGAGTTTGGTGCTGTGACCCGGGAGTTGCCGGTAGAAAGGGATAACATCGCCGAGTCGCATTCTGGCGTTTTAGCACTTGATGGTGATTTCACTGACCTCCGTTTTCTCTACCAACGTTTTCCTGCTGCACGTGGGCTCTGCCTGCAGACGCTGGCGGGGAGATCAAGGGGAAAAGCCGTCAGAATTGCGTTTTGCACTGGAGGTTGTTTCCCAGGACAAAGGGCACAGAAAGAGTCAGGACCACACGGAGAAGAATTTTAAGAGGGTGTCAAGTGGTGCAGTAGTGGAAGTGTCCATTAGAATTTGCTGGAGAGGGGAGTGCGGCAAAGAGGTGGATTGGTGGAGTCACTGAAGAACGGAAAGTTGCGGGACTAAGCAAAACAAGAGAGAAAAGAAAGTAGGAAAGGGGAAGGACGGACTGCCGGAGTTCCCTGAAGGACAGAGAGTAAAACAAGGAAACAGGAACGGCTCGACAAAGAAAAGACCTGTGTGTGTTCCGAGGAAATGCTTTAGGGAGCAGAGGGAGGGACGGTCGGGAGGATAGTTCGGTGACTGAGCTCTGTGAAGAATCTGCCAGGCACGACGGCAGCCTCAAGGGACCTGCACGACCCTCCTAACATCTCTGATTGATCTCTCCGACCTCTAACTCCTAAACTAAATTTTCTAGGACCAACTAAGGTGTGTTTTAGGACTTCCCATTTGCTTAAACAATGTATAATTGACTTTCTTCTTAACAGAACGATCACTTATTAAACAAATTTTCTGAGGCATGAATTAAACAAATTTTCTGATGTCACCCCAGCCCCTGTCCCAACCCCCCCTGTCCCCGGTCGCCAGCCCTGCGCACTGAGTAGAACCGCGACCAGCGCCGCCAGCCCCGTTCCCTGCCAGGGTCGCAACCGCCGATCCACTGCCCGGCGTCTCACTACCCCCACCAGCCCCGGTTCTCTGTTCCGGGTGGGCCGTCTCCTCTCCTCCTCCTCTGCCTTCCTGTCCCTGCCTCCCTTCACCTCGGGTGGCAGGGGTTTGCGTTTGTATCGGGGAGCTCAAGATTGACAGACCATGAGCTCCTTTCACTGCCACCGTCTCTTCCTTCACATCCCTCCTCTGTTGGTAAGCGGAGATTCCTGAATTGTCCTCCAGATCACATACTTGTGAGAACGATCGAGGGGCACGAACATCTGAAAGGGCTCAGTGCCCCGGGCTCAACCTCTCCTGACCTGTCCCGGGGAGAATCCCTACTGGCAGCAGGAGCACTTCTACTGGGGATAAAGATCACTTGGGGTTTTGTCAGTGGCTGTGGCACCAGTGCTAGGGTGAGGCAGTGCGTGAGAGAAGTACCTTCCCCAGAGAAAGTTCCGACGTGGCATGGTATCTCCCACCCACTTTGGACTTCATGGAGATGCAGTCTCAGTAAGCAAGCTCTGCTGTGTCCCTCTTCCTGCTCCTCTTACTCAGATGACCAGGGAACAGTCTGTCACACCTGAACTGGATGTGCTGGAACTAACACATCTGCAGCACGTTGAGGGGCACTCAGAGGCACAGTAAAAAGTTTCATCCTCTTTCCCATCTCTGTCACCTCCGTTGGAGGACATGAAGGACCACCAGGGCAGGGTGTGATCTATTGTCATATGCACTGGAAAACCCAGGTCAACTCTCCAGGGCATGCATCCCAGACCTGCCAACCACTCTTGCTTGGCACTCACAATAGAATCATTACTTCGAACACTGGCTTCTCACCCGGCCCAGAGATTCTTTACCTTCCTTGGAGAGAGACCGGAAGGGCTAAACAGGGTGTCTCTGTTTGCATTGAACAGACAAGTCTTGAGCACACACATGGTGTTGGTGTGGGGAGATGACATCGACCTCCTGGGAGGACCTAGAAGTTATGTGGGACAAAGAGTGTCTCGGTGTCACTTTGCATTTACAGTACTAAACCCTGGCAAAGCTCCTGCATGCAGCTCTGGGATGTTCTTCTGTGGACAGAGCTCACCGTGTCCATCCCTCAGGCTGTGGGGCATCTCAGATAGTGGCAGAGCAGGTGGCAACCCACAAGGGCTGAGGTGCATCCAGACTCTGGGTGTAGCAGCAGGACCCCCGGGAGATACTGCCCCTGCTGCCATGAACTGTCTATATCTGTGTGCAAGGGAAGAACTCGTGTGTCTGAAGACCCTTGTGAGACCAAGCAGTGAACCCCTGCCAGGGCACCACTGACTCTTGGACAACTGGTCATCCACCAGGACCCCAGAGGCCATTTTCCAGCACTGTTACACAGCATGTCATTCCCAGTCTATCTGTACATCCGGGGTTGCCCCATCCCAGGGACAGAATCCGGCACATCCCCTTATTGAATTTCCTCTGGTTGATGATTGCCCAAACCTCTGATTTGAGGTCTCTCTGCAGGGCCTCCCTCTTCCATGAGGCCCTAGAGTGTCACAAAGGCCCCTTGATTCCATGGGAATCTGCAGTGTTCCGTGTTCCATGTGTTCCATGAGGCCCCATATTGTCACAATGGCACTGAAATGAGAGAAGATCTCCTTTCTAAACGACTTAGTAAATGAGAAGTTTTTTCTTAGATAAAAGTCCTAATCAACAAAGGAATTTGCTTTCTTGGTGTGGTAGTGGTCTTTTCTTTTAAGACTACTATTAGTTTTAGGAGAGAGAATGTAGATGATACATGGAAACTAATAGAGAGTGTATCATATACCCATCTTCAAGAAATTCGCTTACATACCTCAGAAATCTTGTTGAATAAGAGATTGTTCTGTTAAGAAGAAAGTCAATTAAACATTGTTTAAGTAAATGGGAAGTTCTGACACATGTCTTAGCTGGTCCTAGAAAATTTAGTTTAGGGGTTAGAGGTCGGAGAGATCAATCAGAGATGCTACGAGGCCTGCTAAGCGAGAAGACCGCTCTGCGAAAATGACTGCCCCTCCCAGAAGAAACGGACGCTAGATGGCAGTCTTGCTCCACGAATACAATCCCAGATGCTCTTTGACCCCAAAATCATAACAGAATTCTGGACTGCTTGTGAAGGGGGGGGATCTTTCAAGTATCACTGTATTTATATTCCGAAATTTATACTGATTCTTTGATTCATGCATGGCAGAGTACCCCCATGAATCCCCAGCTGGCATATTAAAGAAATGTTTGATCCAATGGTTTCTGGTCAATGGGTTGAATTCTTTTGTTTTATCCCTTTGATTCCATGAAGTTCCAAAGATATCCCAGGGTTTGTTTAATTCCATGAGGTACCGTACGTCCCAATGACGTCTCTTAATTCCCTTGTTTTCTGTAGTTTCCCAGGGAACATCTGCTTCAGTGATGCAGGGCAGGGTAACGACGGCCGCTTGATTCAGTGAGTTCCCCCAGTGTCCCAGCAGTCCTTTGGTTCCATGAGACCCTGCAATGTTGCAATGGGTTGACCTTGCCTGGATGCCTGGTGCCCACCAAACCGCTCTATCCCTGCCCTTCCCAACCAGACAGGAGAGACAGAAAAACATGGAAAATGACTTCTACCTTGAGATCAGGCACTTTACTAAAGCAAAAGCCAAAGCATGTGCATGCATAAGTGAAGAGGAAAATGAAGAAATTTATTCTCTACTTCCCGTCAGCAGCCATGCCTGACCACTTCACGGGAAGCAGGGTTTCACCACACAGAGAGGATGCTCAGAAGGTAAATATTGCAAAAAAGTGGATTTCCCCCCTTTCCTGTTCCTTTCCTGAGCTTTTGTAGCTGAGTTGACGCCATATATTCTGCAATGTCCCTTTGGTCCATTTGGCTCAACTGACCTGTCTGTATCCCCTCCCATGATCTTGCCCACGATTCAAGGGAGGAAGCTGACAATGCGGATGCTGTGCCAGTCCTGCTCAGCAGTTGCCAAAGCACTCGTGTGATTAACCCCTTTGTAGCTCCCAATGCAAAGTATAGCAGTGTGACGGTTGCAGTAAGAAAATGAACTCCAGCTCAGACAGACCCAACACACTTGGGATTCTGAAATGTCTCAGGGTTTGTTTGGTTCCATGATACCCCCCGTGTCACCGTGACACAGCTTGTCAGACCTGGTAGTAGAAAAATAAATCAAAAAATTCAGAAGAAATCATCTTAAAGTCATGCTAAACCTGTCTTCTACAGTCCACAATCTACACATGTGTGACTGCAGATACTTGGGATGAGGGTAGATGCTCAGAGGAATTCATGGGTTTTGGTCTAGGAAATCTGTCCCCAAAGTTTTCACTGCCTTTTCCTCCTTGGACACTTCCTGAGGCCTGGAGGAAGCTTATGTCCAACAGCAACTCCATCTCCCACTTTCTCCTCCTGACCTGCCAGGGTTGCAGCTCTTGCACTTCTGCTTCTTCCTGAGCATCTCCCTGGTTGCCCTCCTGGGCAACGGCCTCATCCTCAGCGCCGTAGGCTACCACCACCACCTGCACACCCCCAGGGACTTCTTCCTGCTCCACTTCTCCCTCACGCACCTGGGCTGCATCTCCACCACTGTCCCCAAAGCCATGGTCAATTCCCTCCCAAACACCAGGGGCATCTCCTACTCAGGATGAGCTGCACAGGTGTTTTTTGCTTTTCTTCTTGATCACAGCGCAGGTTGCCCTTCTCACCATCATGTCCTATGACCGCTACGTGGTCATCTGCAAAGCCCTGCACTACAGGACCCTCCTGGGCAGCAGAACTTGTGCCCACATGGCAGCAGCTGCCTGGGCCACTGGGAAGAGGGTCTGACCCTGGGGTTGCAGGAGCTGCCGCCTGAGCTGATGATCTCCTGAGCAGTCCAGACACGCAGTCGTTGTCCCTGTCCTCTATTTCCTCCCTTTCTTGCTGCACGACCAGAAACGACTGTGCTGCTCTGCTGGGCTGGGGCGGGGCAGGGAGATGGGGGGACCAGGGAGGGACTGGACTGGGCAGTTCCAGGGAGTAGAAAACCCCAATGTTCATCTGAAGTGGAGAAGTGGGCAGGGTGGGAGCACTACAGGGTTGAGGTGGTTCCAGGCTCTGGGTGTGGCAGCAGCAGCCCAGGGAAACACTACCCCTGCTGCAATGAACTACCTGTGTGTGTGCGAGGGAAGGACTTGTGTCTCGGAACACCCCAGTGGGTGCATCAGTCCAGCTCAGGGGTGGACACCTCTCAGAGCCCTGACACATTTCTGGGTGTGACTCCAGGAAACCCCCACTGTGCCAGGGAGTTATTAGATCCTTTGCTGTCACCCTCCTGGTGTCCTGTGTAATGATGAAACTAGAAAAGGTGATCATCAGACCCTGTTAATTTTTTAAGAGGAGAAATGTCACTGCTGGAAAGAAGTGTCACTGAAGAGGTGAGAAGAGGGAACATCATTGTTTCCTTCAGCCTGTTCCACAGCAGGTTCCCCTGGAACCCCAGGGACACCTGCGGGAAACCCAGAGGGGCAGGGAAAGGGCTGCCTTTGGTTCTTGTTGTGCTGCTCAGCTGGGCCGGGCTCCTGGCACACAGGGAGCTCCTGGCAAGCGGGCAGCACTGCAGAGAGACAGCTCTGCCCAGGAGCAGCTCCTCTGCACAGCCCAGCAGGGCCAAGGGCACTGCCTGGAGCCACGAGAGAAGCAAGGCAGAGGGAGGTTAAAGGCAGCGGAAAGATGGGAGGTGTTCAACTGAGACTTCTCTTGGGGACACAACTTCACACTCCTCTGCAGAATAAGTCTACAGGTGCAGGGCAAGGTCGCTTGTGTTCCTGGAGGAATCTCCTAAAGTTACCACATCCTGCAGCCTTGTATATCTGTCAGGACTCTCCCAGTTTCTCTGTTGCACAGGAGGAGGATGTTCTCCAGGGTAGGCCTTCCCTGCAGCACCATCAGAGGGACAGCACAGGTGGGCTCCTTCTGCCAGGGATGGTTGCGGGGTGGGAAGGTGGGGGTGCAACCAGGAGTGCCCGAGGTTGTCCTGCAGAGCAGGGTCCCTGTGCTCTGGGGTTCTTTGTACCAGGGCAGGGACTTTGCTGCCTGCTGGGGTCAGGTCTCATCCTGCCTGGGTAGTTGCCCACACCTCTGCAGGGAGAAGCTGTCGGTGGGTGACGAGAACCCCAGCAGGAGTCAGGTAGGGAGGGTCTTCCTGCCATTGGATGAGTGCTGTGTGAGGTCAGGGCTGCTCCCAAATCCAGATCACACCAGCACATTTCCAAGAGCACTGTCAAATGGACAAAGGACAAAGCACAATTATTAGGAAGGAAAGGAGCTTTTCTGAGTCAGTGTTTTCAGTTTCCTACTCCTGAGGAACCTGGGGGTTGAGAAACGGAAAAGGAGCTCTCATGTTGGACAAGTCACTGAGACTCCTGAGCTGTAACTTGGAATGCACAGTGCTTCTGCAAGCAACTTCCTAACGTGCTTTCAACCTCTGCTCTGATTTTGACAGAAGCAGCATCACTTCTGCTGGACCCATCTGTTTTTTCTTTATCTGCCCTTTTCCACCTGCCAAAAGAAAAGTTGCCCTGTCAGTGCCCTGCAAACAGGCAGGTTTCTCTCAGGTCAAAGGGAGTGCACAGACATTCAGATGGAGTGCTGACAGGGAAGTCATGAATGGATTTCTGATGTTGAGTCTACTGTTTTGAAATCAGAAAATGTGCTGTTGAAGTCATCGTTAGCCTTTGAGAGGGAAACAGGAGAAAAACCGGATAAACTTTTTGCTAAAAATGAACTGCTTCAAACTGAAGTTGACCACCTTCAAAGTCTTGTCAAAATTTGGATGATTCTGAAACAGTCAGCTCACTGATTACCAATCAGCTCACTGATTCTCAATACTAGACAATGCCTGCAGTATAAAGGCATAAACCCATCCCAACCCCTCCAGGAGCCCTCAAATCCCATCCCAGTCCCACAGGACACTCCCAACTTCCCCTCAAACCCTCTCAGGCCCCCCGACTGCCTCCCAGACCCACAAAAGCCCACCAGATGCCCCCAAACCCCTCCCAGTTACCTCCAACCCTCCCAGGACCCCTCAAACCCTCTCCTAGTTGCCCCCTTCCCCTCGAGGACGCCCCCAAACTCTCTCCCAGTCCCTTCCCACATCCCTGACGATCCCCCAAAACCCCTCCCAGTCGCCCCAATCTCCCCAAAGTCCCTCCCAACCCCCCAAGCTCCCCCAAACCCCTTCCCACTTACCTCCACGACCCCCAACCCCTTCTCAGTCTCCTCATTATTCTTAGGATAGTAAGGAGGGTTTAGGCCTCTTGACCTTGTGAGGGTCTGTTCTATTTCTTTATGGGGGTGTAATTAAGTTTTACAATCCATCTGTTTAATTTTGATATAATCACCCATCTGTTTCACGAATTGCAATTATTTATTTATCACAGGAGCTCGATGGACGAGGGCACTGGGAGAGGAGGGGAGAGACCGGGATGGGCTGAGGGGGTACTGGGAGAGAGAGGGGAAAGGTTTTTGTCCCTTTCCTGGGCACTGGAACACCTCTGCACCCCCGTTCCCAGTCATGCTGACTCTCCTTCCCCCCCAAGCCATGAACAGGTTTTGGGGCTCCCTCGTGGGTCACAGCCAATAGAACAGCTCTGCTGGAATGACATCACTGGCAAATTCTGCTCGACCCCTCTCCTGGCGCCGGTGAGTCATCCAATAGAACGTCGATACTTCCGTGGGGGTTGCCGTGAGCGGGGCAGTGGGGGCGGGGGAGGGGAGGATCACGATTGAACCCGGTTGGTCCCAATTGATCCCGCCCCAGGGTCTCCCCCCGCCGCGATCGTATTCACGTGTGGCCCCAACGAGGCCATGGTGGTGTTGGGTGAGTTTGGGGGGTCTGGGGGCTCCTGGTGACCCCTCCGAATCTCCCCCAAGACTCTCAGGAACTGCCCAGATCCTCCCAAGACTCCTGGGGCCCCTCCAAAAGCCCCCGCCCAGGGGGCCACCCCTCCACCTTTCCCCCTCTCCCCCCAAATCTCCTGTGCATCCTCTTAACCCTCAAAAATCTCCTGGGACCACCTCAGACCCCCAGACTCCCTCCTGGGGACCCCCAAACCCTCTTCAGGACTCCTGGGCCCCTCCCAACCCCCTCCTAGAATCTTTTGGGTCTCTCCAACCCTTTACGGCGGATTCCTCCGTCCATTTCCCCCCTCGGACTGCTGGGGGTCAACCCCCCCTAAGAAACTACTGGGAACCCCCCAGTGTACCACCAAGAGTTTCCTGGGTCCCTCCACCCCAACCCCCTGTGGGTACCCCCATCCTTTCCCCCCTTGAAAATACTCTTGGGGGTCCGTCAGTGTCCCCCCCAGCCCCCATCCTGCACGGGGATGGATTTGGAGGGATCTCCTTCCCTTCCCTCTGGCCCAAAGGCAAATGCTCTCCCTGTCCTTCTTCCTTCACCCCCAGGCAGAAAAGAGAAGAGAAACAGCCAGTTGGCCCTGGCAGGTGTGGGTGTGTGCAGGCTGTGGTTGAGTGGTTGAGGAGGGTAAGGAGGGGGCTGGTGTTTGGGCAGAGTCCAGCAGGTGATGTCTTTCGTGTCTGGCAGTCATTGGTCGGTTCCACGACCATCCAACTGTCAGTGTTCACGACATATTCATCAACCCCTTCTCTTCTGGGCTCCTATACTTGCCAACCCTAAGCTGCTCCTAAGTTCTCTTGCTGTCAGTTCATAAAGAGGTCTTGTCAAAGTGTTACTGATTTAGAAACTAAACCCTGACATCTTTGTCTTTGCAAAAGATGTGTGTGAAAGGGCAATGCTGGTGCAAAGCAGTGTTGAACTTCACATTGGGTGACTTGGCAGCTTCCTCTGCATCACCCATGCACCCTGGGTTTCTTTGAAAAGTACTTTTCACTCCAAATGTGACACCACATTAGCCTGTAGGACATCCTGTCCCCAAAGGGATAACTGTAAATATTAAAGTGACTCCCTCCATTATTCAAGAAAAACCTGTATCTCTGTACTAAAAGCATCCAAGGGTCATGTCCCCCCTTTTCTTTCTGACAAGGGTTTGGAGGGGTTGCTTTGTGCAGGGAACCCTTGGGGGCCCCTTGCAGATGGGTGGGGCTGCACTCTGGGGGTGTGGGCTTTGGTTCTTTGGTTGCCAGGGGCCACTATGAGTCACTGAGCCGGGTGGGGACAATGGGCAGGACTGGCTGGGACAGGCTGTGGTGCCTGTGACATGAAAGGGAAGTGTCCCCGTGGGGCAGGTCTGCAGGGCCCATCAGGGGATGCTGCCCAGTGCAGCCTGTGCTGTGGGGAGTGCACACACAGGGAGAGGTTGGACCAGACGAGGACCGGGGCAGCAAGGCCGCCCCAGGGAGTGGGTTCTGCCCCTGCCTGCAGGGCCCAGCCCCTGGCAGGAGTGCCTTGTGCAGGGCCCTGTGCTACTGCTGGGGCAGGGGGTAAGACCTTGCTGCCTACCAGCTGCCTGGGCCCCTGTCCTTGCTGTGCCACATCCCCGAGGCTCCCGTCCCCGCTCCCCCAGTGCCAACTCCCTCCTTCCCAGCCCCAGCCAAGCCCTTCTCTCTGTCCTCCTGCAGGCCATGGCTTTCACAGTATTCCTTTTGGTGCTTGTGCAAAGCATCTTCCAGTCCCTGCAGGCAGTCGGGGAGGGGCTGCACAGGCTTGCACCTCCAAGTCTCAATGAGTTTGGAGGTCTTTTCCAAGCTGAAGGAATCTTGGATTCTGTGATCGTGTGCTGGATTCAGCTGGGTCCGTGTTAGCAGCATTAGTTTGCTCCCAAAGTTTCCTCGCTGTCAGCTCTTGTGGCCTAAGGCTTGAGCTCCTTTAGCTCCTTGTGCTGAGCTGCTGATGGGAAACGAGAGGCCTCTGCAAGTAGATTCATGGTGTTCCCTGTAGAACAGTGAGGGGGAAGGTGTTGTCAAGTGGGAAGAGAAGTACTGTTTGTGTGTGGCCTCCTATGTGGTCTTGGAACCTTTGAGGGGCTTGAAGGAGAAAAGAGCTTTGTTAAAGTGAGAAGTGAAATAGTGTGTTGGCTGTGGGAATGGGAAGAGGAACGGGGAATGGGAAGGGAAAGAGGAATGGAAAGGCATCTACTGATGCTGTCATTTGTTTGTTATGTCTGTGTGTAGCAGGGAGACTGCCAAAACTGAAACCAGTACACAGTTGAAAGCTGAACAAAACAACATTTATTCCAAAGAAAGTAGTAAACAAAATGAGAAACTGAGAGACAGAAAAGAGAAGGGAAAAAAGCCCCCAAGACAACCCCCCATTCACTCAAGTGTTACTTACCAGGTTGTCTTACCGACCCCAGAATGCTTAGAATTCCCCATAGCAGAAACTGCATCCTCATTATCCTCATGAGCCAATGTGGTGGTTTAAAGGTAAACCAACAGGGGAAATGAACTCAACTCAAAAGAGAGATTATAAGTCAGAATAACAATTTAGTAAAATAATACAATAAGTACGATTATACAGATAAACAATTGGTCTTAACCCACAAAACCCAAATGTATAACCCAGCACCCTGGGGCATGAACAAAGTGGTGTTCCTTGGCCCCCCCCCGAGTCCAAAGTAAAGGGAGAGGGGAAAAACCTGCTGGTGGGAGAGCTGTTGCAGTCTGGTCAAAAGTAGTGATTGCAGTATAGTTGAGGGTGGTGGTCTCAGTCTGTTTGAGAGCGGTGAGCTGCAGTCTGTTTGAGAGCGGTGAGCTGCAGTCTTCCTCTGGATCCCACAAATGGGAAAAAGGTTCCGAAACTCTAAGTTTATATGTTCTCCAGTTCAGGCAGGAGTGCTCAGTCCTTCCCTCAGAGCGGGGAATTCCATAAAAGGGTATGAGGACAGGAACATCTTCCTATTTCGCAGGCCTCTGCTGATAACAGTTTCTGGGAAATGGTATGGAAGGCTATAGAATACACAGTCTTGGGCTACACCCATCCAGTGATGAATTGGTCCCAGTTGTTCTACCTAGAACATTATCCACCCCTTATTCTATGCCATCCATGTCATGCCCAAATTAACCCCCTTAAAAACTATGTCTCCTTAAAACTATATACACCTACACACATATATATGCAATGAAACATTACAGACCATTCTCACTCAAAATTAGGTCCTCTTGTGGTACAGAACGTGTCTCCCCATCTTTTTGCATTACTCACCAGGTGAAACCAGGTCCTTGAGCAAAAACAATCCCTCAGATGGGTTTGCCTTTGCTTGAGGTGGGACTAATCCAAACAGTCTTCCCTAACATACCTCTCATATGCACCATGGGGACTTTATCTCCATCTACAGTATGCAAAGGTTCTGATTGGGCAGGGTCAGCTCGATTGATGGAGCCTCGGGTGTTGACCAACCAGGTGGCCTTTGCTAAATGCAACTCCCAGTGTTTGAGTCTCCCCACACAGTGCCTTTGAGTGGTTTTCAGCAGTCTGTTGCACTGCTCAACTTTTCCAGCTGCTGGTGCATGGTAGGGGATATGATACACCCACTCAATGCCGTGCTCTTTGGCCCAGGTGTCTACGAGGACATTCTTGAAATGGGTCCCATTATCAGACTCAATTCTCTCCGGGGTGCCGTGTCACCACAGGGTTTGTTTTTCAAGGCCCAGGATGGTATTCTGGGCAGTGGCATGAGGTACGGGGTATGTCTCCAGCCATCCAGTATGTCGGAAGATAGAAATTGTGTGAACAATTTCTATTGCATTTCTGAGAACTTTTACCTTGGCATGGCTGGGTGTAGACAGTAAAAAATACTACGCCAATAAGATGGCTACAGGAGCTAAAGCTAGACCAAAGGTGGATTCTTGACAGATGCCAAGGAGGAGTTTTGGCAGGTGAATAAAGTTTTCTCATCTCCTATGACCACCTGTTGTGATCCAATTAGCAGTGGACAGCAAAGTACAGGTGTGATCAGCATCAAGCTACTCTTTAACAAGCTGTTGCAGAGCCAACAGCTGTTCTGTAGGTATGAACCACTGCTGAAGTCACACAGGATAGGTACGTTGTAAAAGAAAATTCTGAGCAGTACTTCCTAGTCTCACAACCTAAACCCCTGGCATGACCACAGGCCAGGAGGCCGACCAGGATGTCCATGCAATGATAGTTATATCAGGTCCCGAATGCAGAAGTTCGTCCGCCTGGACAACTGACAGCAAGCTTCAAGTATCATAGAGAGTGCAGGTCAGCTATGGACGTGGTGTAGAGATCGCCACTGACACAAAGACTTGGTGTATCAGTAGAACCAAATCCTCCATCCCGACGCTCGGGGAACACAACTCAGAAAAGATACAAGTTGAGCTATTCGTGTCCCTTTAGGAATTGTCACTGAAGGATAAGGTGTGGAGACCATAGCACTAATCTGCCTCGTATAGTTAGCATCAATGACTGCAACATGAACAAAAAATCCCAAAATCCCTCAATTGTGCTACTAGAATGGCTGATTAACAAGGCACTTAACCCACGCTGCCTTTGTACAATGCTAAACATCCACCAGTCAGATTATGTGATCAATACGTCCGGTATAGAACAAGTAGCAGTCACAAGCATTGTGGACATTTTTATGAAAACACAGCTGCGATGGGCAGGGCACATCCCAAGGATGAAGGACTAGCTGTTTTACGATGAATATTGCCATCAGCTGCCACATGAAAGGAGCCCCGAAGAGAAGACACAAGGACTCCCTGAAACGACATCGCAGCTCTGGCCACACTGATCAACATAACTGGTGTACTCTGGTCTCCTATCAGGAGGCCTAGAGACACACAATCTATAACGCTGTTGATGCTTCTGAGGAAGGACGCAGGATGGCCCTGACAGTCTGCAGGGCCCCCCCGCAACAGGTTGATCAAGCAGGGCACCAACATGGACAACCCTTGATTTAAACCTGGAAGACACAGAAAAGCTCAAATGACTCTGCCTCCTGCACAGCCCACACAGCTACAGCCCATGGGCAGCATGACACATGAAAAAAGAACAGCACCAGTGGAAAGGTTCCACCTGAGATTTAACCTCTATAAACCTCTGAAGCAAGGCTGAAATACAACACCAAATTTGTGTAAGAACCTCTTACTTAACTTCAGTCTTGATCATATGGCTAGCCAGACAGGACTAGTCTTGAAATAACTAAAACCTCACCAGTTTTCATAAGAGTGGAATTACTCATGGTGGGAATTTGAAGAATTCATATACCATCCAGAATAAGGACTCACTATGGTTCAACAGAATCATGTTACACATCTCTGTAAAATCTTGACACCAGTAGAAAGTATTTGTAAGTTTACATAGTTACACATTCATGTAGCTTTTCTCTTTCACACAGTCTTTTTCCAATCATACATAGGTGGCCACCTCAGTCATCCATCATTCACACACACATCATAAGTTGTTATTGGCTGTGTAGTTCTCATCAGTCTCATAATTTAAAGGGAATTTAAGGCATATTTGCTAAGATTAACTTGTAAATCTTGT